CAGATTCATTGTCCATATTACAAAGCATACAATCAACAACAACCACTAGAGAAGACATTCTCATAGAACTGAATCATAGCCTGTTAAGACTGCACAGAAGCGGCATAGATCTGCAGTTCTGCTGGGTGCCTGCACATGAGGGGGTGAAAGGGAACGAGTGTGCTGATAGATTAGCAAAAACTGCACTACAAAAGCAAATAACACTACCAGTTCAACTTGTTAAAGGAGAAGGAAAAGCAGTCATTAAGAAGAAAGGGACGGAGATCTGGCAGAAAAGGTGGGAGAAAGACCAGAAAGACAAGGACTATCACAAAGTACAAAATACAATTACAATTAATATTCATAAAGAAAGAAACGGAAGGGAGGAAATCATGATGGCTAGACTCCGAATAAATCACACGGCTTTGAACAGTACGCTGTATATAATGGGGAAAAGTGACAGTGACAAGTGTGGGAACTGTGCAGTAAAAGAAGATGTAGAACATATATTGTTACATTGTGACATCTATAAAGCGGAAAGAGAACAATTAAAGGCTAAAGTTTTAGAGGCAGAGAGGGAGTGGAGTGTGGTTGGTGTTTTGGGAACAAAAGGAGAGGGAGTAAAAGCTACCAGAAAGGCACTGTTTAAATTCTTGAGTGAAACTGGGGTAGGAAAAATAATTTAACATTAGGTCAGGAAAGAACATAGATTTGTTTTGTTTTTTGTTTTGTTTTATTTATTTAATGGTTTTATTGATTTATTTTAATTTAATTTTGATTAAAAACATAGGTTAATGAGTTGGAATGATGTGATGATGCATACTCATGTACAGTAGGTGGCGGTATGCACCTTTTAAGTTGTTTGCAATCCGCCAAAAGCAAGAGAAGAAGAAGCTGTGGAGCATTCCAGCGCCATCAGTCTATACGGCGCTGGAGCATTCCTTTGTAAACATGGACTGTTCTAATTCCGCCAACTGATTGGACGGCCGACTTGTCTGTCAAACTGGCTCACGAGACCTCGCGCAATCGGCCCATTTTCTCATTCGCCACCGGAAGCTGCTGACAGCTGTGAGTACAAACAAAAGCCATTCACGTTGTACGTTCATTTTAATACTTTAATAATTAAAATGCTTTAGGAGTGCTGCCCTGCCCTCTCATTTATTTCCGATGTTTCCTCCTGGTGGCTTCTCAAATCTTCCCAACTAAAGCCTTAAATTAAAAATGCCATTGATTATTAAGTGTTCATCTTCTCAATGTGTTGTTCCTTCCATTTGAAACTTGTGTACGCTGAAGATTTTGAAATGTATAGTAGCTTTTTTTAAATGATCGAATTCATGCTGTTGAGTTTTGCACATAACAGACAGCACATGCACTAAACAGTTTTAACCTTTGGCCTATAGATAGGCTACTATCACCTTTGAGCCTGGCTGTTAACCAGCTAGCATTATTAAGAGCAGTTGTACAACATTATAACATGTTTTTTGATTTGTTTACAGTTGCACTTGTTTATGAATACATTATTTATGAATATTTTGTTTTACAATTTGATAGATTTTTTTATTTCCTCAGGGCTGGTGCGATGGACAGAGTGGAGACAGAGCAGAGGGATGAACCACAGACAGACTTCATCTACTGTCACAGAGCCGTCACAGAGGTCCTGAAGTTTGGCTCCTGTCAGTTCAACTCTGGGCACAAAGTGCTCTTTCTCATCATTCCAGGTCAGTTTGACTAATATACTATTCATTAACTTCAATACAATATTAAGAAAGACAGGTCTGGAGGTAGAGTGGCTGGCTTCTGTTGTGTAAGTGCTTAATGTTCCCCAAGGCTAGACACACTATTAACTGCTATATAGATGCTCTCCATTTGCCATGTGTATGGTTCATACTTTAACCAAAAACAAAAAAAGAGCACAAACACCAGCAGAATACATGTGTCAACTGGTCTGGGCAAATGAGACCGGGTGGGCAGTAGCTGACTTTGTAGGGACTTGGCTTGGGAACTGAATAGTCGCCAGTTCAAGTCCTGAACCAACAGTATAGTAGCTGCCGGAGAGTTGCCAGTATGCCTCCTGGCTGGGTAATGAATTGGCATCTTTGAGCAAGGCCTCAACTGGTTCAAGGCACGATGGCAGCCCCCTTGCTCTGACACCTCTACATTTATGAATTTGTATTGGTTCATTACATTTTAACTCTGGGATTAATAAGGTATGTCTATATACATGTTATTATGGTAACTTTATTTCATAACCACCTAAATTGCGTAAAGTAAAATGCATTTTACTGTAAATGTCTTTCTTGATGTAAAGTTTTTCGAAGGTTTCATGGTTTGAGTTATTAAAAGTTTTGCACTTTGCAATGAAGAATATGATCTTCTGCTGTCTTGTATTCAGGTAACCCAGGTGTAGTGGGCTTCTACAAAACCTTCATGCGGACCCTTCACAGGAAGTTAGGATACCACCACCCAGTGTGGGCAGTGAGCCATGCCGGCCACTGTGTACCTCCAGACTCCATGGACATGGTAGAAGGTACAGATTACTCCTATATTCTTACATTCTCGAATCTGATTGGTCAGTTTGGACAGTCAGTGGTCTGCTCTTTCTCTATAGCAGATGGTTGCTAAGGAGGAAGCTGTGATCAAGGGACTAAGTGCAGTCATATCAATCCTCAGAAAGAAGTCCGGTCAATTAACGTCAGTGGTGGCTAAAACAATTATTTGTTTTACTCTGTCAGAAAACAGTGGAATACTTTTTCAATATTCATTCTTATATTTCTAGAGCACACAACTTTGAATTAATGATGGCTGAACTGTCCTCACTCAAGGAAAAAAAGGGAGCAAGAGAAGGAAATAGGTTAAAAGACAGAGAGCTAGAGGACAGAAAAATCAGCAGAAGAAGACAGACAGGAAGTAAACACTTGAGGGAACAGCGGCAGAAGATAGACAGGAAGCAAAAAAAAACGTATACTGCAACAGGAAAGATTCTGAGGTAAACAAAGACATGTTACAACTTTTTGTATACAGATGCCTCCTCAGCAGCTGAGAATGATGTGTTTGGTCTGGACGGGCAGATTGAACACAAGCTGGCCTTCCTCAGGAGAAATGTTCCCCGAGGCACCCGCCTGGTCCTGCTGGGACACTCCATTGGCTGCTACATTATCCTGGACATGATGAAAAGGAATCCTGAACTCAATGTTAGTTACAATAGGGATGCACCACACATTGGCATTGGCCCTTTTAGTCCTTTTTTTATTTATTTAAATATGAACGAAAAGATCTGAAGGTAATTTTGAAGGTTTAGAACACTGACTAAGAATGATCTACCCTAACTTTAAAGTAAATCACGGTGTGCCTCCTCTCTATGACTTATAAAATAACAAGGCCCTTTGTTTACAAATAATTTAATGTCAAATGTATTTCTCATTTAATTATTGAAGCTTCTTGTCTGCTACTCTACAAAAAACACAAGGGACTTTATTTTAGATTTGATGGGAAAAACAATGTTATTCACCGATTACAGCCAACTAGTCAAAGCCATGGATCAGTTAAAGAAACTGCAAGCTGGGGTTTGGGTTTCCATGACAACAGGACTCTGTTGGCTTTGCTTATCGTTATAGTTAAGCCAAGCCAGACATACATGCTCAGTTTGACCTTGTTTTTGTACCACACACACACACACACACACACACACACACACACACACACACACACACACA